ATTCAAAATGACAACTTTTTCACAAAAAATTAACTTATTCAACTTAACTTTTAAAAGTGTTTCGGAAATACTAACACTTTTATATATATCTTAATTTGAAACTTATGTAATGTACTTTATTATGAAAAAAAAAATTTTTTGACTTTATTTTGTCTTCACGGTGAAAATGGCTAACGTATGCTATTTTTGTGTTAAAATTCTCGATTTAATATTTTACATTTTTAACTTTAAAATGTTTTAACTCTTTGAAAAATGTATGGATCAACATAATTTTTTTATGAGAAATAATATTTATATACTTCTTTCATTCAATATACTTTTTTTTTAAATCGGACCATTTCCTTTAATACAGGGGGGGTTTAAAACATAAAAATGCATATAGAAAGTAGAACTTTTTCAACTTAACTTTTGAAAGTGTTCCGGAAGTCTGACACTTTTATATATGTCTTAAATTAAAGCTAATGAAATATTCTTTATCATGAAAAAAAAAATTTCGGACTTTATTTTATCTTCATGGTGAAAACAGACTGTAATAAACAAAAAGATGACAAGAGTGTAGGTATGTAGGTAGTAGGGGGTAGTCTTGTAATAAACAAAATGGCTATAATAAGGTGGCGAAGGAATATTGTTAAATGTGTTTGGGGCTCGGGATGTGAAAGGGAAGAAATGTAAAGAAATGTAACACAGGTGGCCAATAAGGAAATAATAATCGTAGCAGGCGTAGTGTAAAAATGGTGGGTACCAATGGAAAGTAAAAGTGTCTATAGATACCCGGTAGTGACTACAATAAAATGAAATAGAAAGGGATCTCGGCGTATGTATGCTTGTGTAAAAACGTCTAATGTATGAATAAGATGGAATTATAAAGAAGGGTCACTACTTAGCTCCTGCACAGAAACGCGCACACTAATTTCCGGCGAGTCACAAATATCGTGTTTTTTATAAAAATATTTTAGTTTATTCTCAATGACCTATCTTGTTCTAATTGTTTATTACTAAAAAAAAAAATTCTTCAGTAAAGGATCTATTATAAACTTATTATATAAACAAATGTTTCACTTACCTCTGACTATCCTGATATTCTCTTGAGATGAATGATGTTGTTGATGTAATGATTATCGATGTATACGTTTACGCATTAATGCACGCAATTATATTTATACGGTTTATATTATTATTAACTCGCGTGTAACTACTTTTCTAGTACAATTCTATATTAAATCTACCCAATGTGAAGTCTAAGTTTATTATAACTCTGTCTTTTGTAAAAACCTTTTGTATATTTATGTAGTATAGTTCTTAACCTTGTATATGGTGTTTTACCTTAATATATTTATTATTTAATAATTTATAAAGCAAATAAATAACTTCTAAGCAACATAACTGTCCTGTGCAACAAACNGTATCCGCTAGAGGGATGTTCAGAAATTGTACATAACCACTGTAAGAGAACCAAGCACAGAGGAACCACCCGAATGGGGGGGGGAATGGACTTTTTATAGCCCGCAAAACTGGTTTAGCGATCTCTGGTGAGATTCTTGAAATATTTTTTGCTGTATTTGATTGGTTAATGTGATAGAATCTTTTACGTGGTCATTTTATGGTATGCGTAAGAGGGAGGTTAAATCTTGTGTAAGGGTATTATTTTATTACTCATCTTATCCACGGGGAAACACTGATTTGGTGATATATTTTATTAAATATAAATATTAATTATTACATGTATTAAAATGTGATACTACAAGACATAAAAGTTAATAAAAAAAATACGATTTTTGTAAAAAAATTCTTTTTTATATTATTAACTTTATAATGCTATAACTTTTTGAAAGATGTATGGATCAATGGAATTCTTTTATTTTATAGATGCATGATGTCTTAATCTATCATTTGGTATATATATTTTTCATATCTGACCCTTTACCTGCCCATAAGGGGGGATTTAAAATGACAACTCTTTCACAAAAAATTAATTTTTTCAACTTAAATTTTGAAAGTGTTCCGGAAAGTCTGACACTTTTATATATATCTTAAATTAAAGCTTATGTAATTTACTTTATTATGCAAAAAAAAAATGTCGGACTTTATTTTGTCTTCACGGTGAAAATGTCTACCGAATGCTATTATTGTGTGAAAATTCTCGATTTTATTGTTTACATTTTTAACTTTATAATGCTATAACATATTGAAAAGTGTATGTAAAGTGTATCAACATAATTTTTTTATGAGACATATTATATTTTAATAATCCCTTTTTCATTCGACATACTTTATTTTAATCAGGATATTAATAAGGAACTAGCAGTTTATGAAGCTTTTGGAATAACCCACCAATTTTTTAAAATTAAACACTATCTAAAGATTTGCATCGAAGCGTTTTTTTTTGATAGTGATTTTAATCACTGTCAGATATCATTATACTTAATCCAACTATGCCACGTCACCACTGTGCTGTGACCCCCCTGTGCTGGGTTTTTAATTATTATCATTCAAAGACATTTTTTCCTATTCATTAAACAACAATAGCTCAAGGTGGGAGTGCTCACTCTCTAGTACCTACCATTGAATCTGCCCCTGTAAGGATAAGTAAATTAAATATTGTTCAAAACGTAAATCAAATTATATTACTCAAAAAAAAAAAAATATTATGCTTGGTTGGTGTTTAGAATCCTTAATATATATCTGTGACTCAAGTTTATAAATTGTTTAAAACATGATTAGTTCAATTTATTTCAAATACAATATTTTATCACATTTTAATCAATTAGCTGCATGTGTTCCTATTAGAAAAACAAAGTTGACACCTTTACAAGGCATAAAGATAAACTTAAAAAGTGTTTAATCGGAACTCTTACTCGAACTCTTACCATGCAGTTGGTCAACGATGAATCCATTTAGAGATGCATTTTCGCTACAATCATGGGAGTTGGAATTAAAAGAATTGCTTCAGAACGATTCTGACAGATTTGTTAGACGACTGTACAATGACGTCTATAATATAACGTTGAATCGTGAACTAGCGAGTAGCGTACCCGTGTTGTATTATAGACGTCATTTGTTTAGGCCAATATCAAATTTGTTGGGTCGGCTTGAAGAACCCAACCGTCTGGGAGATTTGGTCCGTGCAAATTTTTNCGAAGAACCCAAACGTCTGGGAGATTTGGTCCGTGCAAATTTTTTTTGCTACACCTATGAGGAGGTTAAACTCTCAATGAATAGGTGGAGTAGAAATTTTGTATGGGCCAACTATAAAAAGGTCAACATCCGAATGGTAATGGACGGAAGAGCGGTGTCAACTCGCATTTTTGTTTGCAACACAACTAATAGTCAATGTGCTGAAATGATAGAGGTAATGGACCGTCCTAATGAAATCGTCACATCGCATAAAGAAATATTTAGACATGGAACCACTTTGCTTGAAATATGTAACTTTAAAAGATGTGCACACTGCCTTAAACGATTAAATATTTGGTTAAATTTTAATGACGTGCAAAATATCATACGACGTTTTGTCAAACCTATAGACAATAACGACGATAATTACTATGTAATAATGCTGTTTGATTATCTATGTTCATTAAATGAATAATATAAATATTTATATTTTAACCAACGTTAATTTTTATTATTTAATATAATTTCAACAATAAATTTTTGTACATAATAATAATAATATTGTTTACTAATAAATTTTTGTAATCTATTTATTATTTTTACATTAGTTTATAAGATGTATCTACAAATCATAAGTTTCAATGGTGTCTTCATTCCTAAAAAATAACCCTATTTAATATATATTTAATAATTATTAGCATAATTATGGTATACGTACTCTAGTTTATAATGACCGTAAGCGTAGGTAGTAATACGGTCTTCTGATATAAACCGCTTATCATCAAAACGGTTTAATGTCATTTTCATAGTCTTAATGGTGTATATTNTTATAACCCGCTTATCATCTAAACGGTTTAATGTCATTTTCATAGTCTTAATGGTGTATATTTGGTGTTGAAATTGAAAATGCATCTCTAAATGGATTCATCGTTGACCAACTGCATGGTAAGAGTTCGAGGTCACGATCAGAATAGATCCGTTCAGGATCTGATGATAAATCATCATCTAAAAATAAAAACAGCATTGTTAAGAAGTTTATTTACAAAGTTAAATATTGACATACATACCATCAGAATCCTCAATACTATCTTCAATTTCTTCTTCTTCTTCCTCATACTCATCTTCTGCCTGCAAATATTCTTCATCCAATGGGTCATAGTAATACCCGTCATCATGGACTCGCGGATGTATCTGTCCAAATTGTTCAATGAATAGCTCCTGTTCGTCTGCTTCAGCAAAATTTTCAGCTTCAGCAACAACACACTTACAAACAAAAATTGACTTGATTTGCATGTTTGAGATGTTTCAACGTACAAGCGCAATTAATACAATTGAAAATATTAAATTTTTAGAGCCGAGTATAGGGTATTTATATGAAAAACTAACGTTAATGACTCGTCATTACTATACCTGTGTATATTCTTATACCCTTATGCGCATAGTGGTACTATTAGTCTTTACTCTATCCCTTTTTTTTTTTTTTTTCAACACAATAATACTGCTCAAATTAATTATACATGAATTTTTAGGTAAATAAACAACAAACATGTTATATGTTACTTATAAGTTTTATTTTAAAAATATTATACATTATTTAATTATAGTGAAATATAACAATATTTTAAGTACTAAGAATTATTAATATACCAATGTCTTAACATAAACATTTTATAAAAACTACAATAAGTTGGATTTAAATTCATATGAAATAAACATGATGGATAAGAACTATTTGTTGTCAGTTGTGTTATACGAGGACAGCCAATATCTTCCATGTTAATGACATTTACGTGTGGCATATACTGTTGTAAAATGTNAGTCAACGGCTCTCTCATGAATGTTGTTTACAACCATCGTGCCATATGTAGCCGCTGTTGCATGAGCTTCGCTTATTGTAGGCTCCTCTTCAGCATACAAACACCGTTTCATGTCCTCGACTGTAAGATGTTTTTTCACAACGTGACCACGTATCCCTTACGCCTTGATTTTTTCTTTACCCTCCAAGTCAAAACCATAACATTTTGGTCTTAGACTAATAAACTCCAATATAGATTTCCCCGGCGCTTCGTCACTCCACAAACCAGGTACCTTTTTGTTAGCGTTTGAATAACACGGATGACTGCTCGGCAAACCTGAAGTGTCAAGTCTAGCCAATAGATCAGGATTTTTCTTTGCTACCGCGTAAAAGTCATCACCCACGATAAAGTACACTAATGAATCTAAACAATANGTAAAGTACACTAATGAATCTGAACAATAAAATCAAAAAATAAAATCATTTAATTTTTTTCAATAAAAAATATTAATTAGTCTACCTGTGTCACCGTATAACAGTCGAGCACGGTCTTTGAAATATTTCTTCATTACGTTATAATGGAAATCGTATACGAGAGTTTTACTAATTTCTAAAATTGCGAAACCTACGTATACTGGTTTACAAAAATCGATAATTTTCTTTTCCAATACAAACGCCGATAAATTTTCACTGTATGTTGTACAATGTTTGAAATTATGCTTTCTAATTAATTTAGCCGCTCGTTTAGGATTATTGACCAATTCCATTTGCGTTCTAAATTGTACACGTTCCATCATTTTACCTGTTAACAAACGAAATCGCATTAAAATTATGTTTATATATTTTTATTTAATTTTAAAACTTACCAAAAACAGCGTTGTTCATTAATTTAAAAAAGTCTTTTTCAAAATCATTTTTGGCTTTCTGTCTCATCTCCGTGTTGAGTTGTATATATTTTGATAGCCAGGCCGACTGCTTAAATTGTAACACCTTATGCACCTGTAATTTAATGACATGTTATTATTATATTTTTAAAATATAATTTTATGAATTACCTTTTCTACTTTTAATCCGTTTGCCATAGCCTGTTTTAAATTTAAATAGTGTATAACGTAGTTTTCTTTCCGATCGAAAGTAGACAACAGTTTTTTGACCCGTGAATTAGGCGGACATTTTCGTTCAGGTANGACATGTGAATTAGGTGGACATTTTCGTTCAGGTAGAAACGGCATTTCGTTGTGGGCATCATGTAACTCTTTCGGGTACGACACCGTCACTTCAAGGGCCATTCCTATAGGAGAATCCGCAGGTAACTCTTCCACAGTCTTTAAAATTTTCGTTTCGTCGTCCACGTCNGTCGCCTCCAGTTTTAAGTTGAATTTTATCGGCCCCATTTCTTTAAGACAGTCGCGTAATTTTTCAACTAAATCGTCTCTTGTTGCCGACAAAAACGATTGATACCCGACTACATTTTCAATATTTTTTTTATAAAACCATAAAATTTGACTATTTAATGATTCACCCGTTTTATGAAAACCGCTCGTCGTAATGTCCTGTAATCGTTTAGCCTTTACCCGTTTACATTTAATCGTATAGTCGGTGTTACATTGTTTGCGATGTTTAGGACTAATTTCACTGGGACCTGCCTGCATTCTCTCCGCAACATTTAAATTTTCTAAAAACAAATAATCATATATTTATTTTAGCATATAAATTTCTAATAATATATATTTTCTTTACTTACCACTTGTTGACATAGCCCTTGAATCAGCATGATTTCCTATAGAAATATTATAGTCCACACCATACTTTACGNTGAATCAGCGTGATTTCCTATAGCAATATTATAGTCCACACCATACTTTACGAGGTCTAAAATAATACACTTATATTAACACTCTACTAATATATTTTCTCTTTTCATATTACTATTTTACTGAATAATAATTGTAATACTTACGGTGAATTGTTATAACATGACGCGAGAGTGCCCATTTGTCCGAAAAACTAGATGGGTATAAATAACACTTAAATCGTATACCATCATGACTCTTTTGATGACGTACCAGTCCATGTTTGAATGCAAACACTTTTTCACACTTGTCACAAGAAAACATTTTAAAGACGTTTAACTGACACAACACTATTAATTTTACTCGAGTAATAATCCTTCTTTTATGCGGAAAAATCACATATTTTCATAGGGGGGTCAGCAAATCATAGGACACATATCCCCGTATACTAACTCTTTTCTTCACCACTTAAGTAATTTCACTTTAATATCATAATAATTAATTTTAAACTCTCGATTTCTAAATATTTGTATACAAATATATGTAATAGATTATGTGTATACATGTTTTATACAATAACGATTACACATTAATGTCTATTAACAAACGCAGTAGTGTAACTGAATAATCAAAAAAGAATTTAATAAAATATTATTTCAAACGTATAAATATTTTCTCTATAATTAAAAAATAACTCAATTCTTATTAAATATTGTACATATTTATTTATTTACTAATAAATAGCATAATAATGATCACCTTATGATGAGTTTTATCATCGCCTCCCCTTCTATGTAGGGGTAAACTGTTGATTTACTGTTTTAATACATACGTTAGTCAAGTAAGGGGGCTCTCTATGACCAAAGGCCTACACATCACATAGCTATAGTGGGGTTTTGTTGGATTAATAGCCGCCGTCGCCGCTTNTCAAAGGCATACACGTCACACAGCTAAAGTTGGGTTTCGTTGGATTAATAGCCGCCGTCGCCGCTTGATTACACCTTTCACTTTTTTGCATTCAAATATTTTCATATAATTCTAAAATTATGTAATTTTTAAAATACCTCTAATTTTCTGTAATATATCAAGATATACTATATGATGTTCCATCTACCTAGGTATACTATGCATATACCAAGGTAACATGTACCATGGTATAACGAAATGCTATCTAGGAACGAGAAACATCGACCTTTCACCATATCCCCCCGGCCGTTTACACCGCCCGTCCACCTAGGACAGGGTAAACCCACAACATGTGGGTTAGGAGGGTATGGCAATCATACTATCCCCCTCTACTTATAGCTTTTTAAAGTTGAAACGTCAAAAACTAAAAATAGCTCAAAAATTGTTTTTTTTTGTTAATTTTTGGGATTTTTTCTCATGATACTATTGTGAAACTATAATGATGTAATTGTTACATAATATCCTCATTCTAAAAATCCTAAAACCAAAATTAACTTTAAAAATAAGGATTTTCCAAATTTTTTTTTTCAAAACTACGCACATCAAAATTACGCAATACGAAATAAAAATGGGGTTTTCATAAAATTTTATATTAGTGATTAGGTAATAACAAGAAACTCAATTAATTCAAGTTGAGCAAAAAAAAAAAAAAGACCACGATGTGGTGTTTTACTTAGAATTGTTAATTCAATAAAATAAAAGTTTATACTGTATATTATGTATATCAATTAACACTTGTTGAAAACAAAAAAAAATACTATTACATTAGATATTGAAATATCAGTATTCATCTTGATACCATTTAAAATAATTGCACCTTTGCGTGTTCGTGCGCGATATTGCACAGCAGTAATACGGTCTGTCCTTATTACTTCCTGAACTAGTAATGCATAATGATGCTTGGGTATGACAATTACAGTTGTGGTTATCTTCAGCCATGTATTTAAAGTACCGACAACGCGTTGGATCAGTATAATCTTTACGACACGCGACAAATTGCGTGTTACTCGATTCTAAATAACTATTAGGTTTATCCCGAATATTTACACTTAAACCACAATGACATTTGTACAAATTTCCATCATACATCCATCGGTTCATAGTGAGAAAAAATAACTTAAATAGAAAAAGAATTAAGCTGTAATCTATTGGTAAACTACTAAGATTAGACTATAGATTACATCGTTTATTTGTCAATGTTATAGAAACAGTGCATCATGATGTTTGTTACCAACTGTCAAATATAAAAACGTATTATCATAATTTAAATTATGCGAAAAATTGTATAAATAGTTAGAATTGAAACTGATACTGTGTGTATAATAAGTATCAGCAATACCATTTCAGCAACAGTTTGAATTGAGCGGCGCGTCGTAAATTTTTTTATTTAAGTAACTACACACATATAAATATTTTTTTTAGTATAATTAAATAAATAAAATTTGATTACTAAATCATCGAGAATACTTTTTCTAATGAATTAATGCAAAAAAACAAAAAGAACAGAAGTATATAACAAAATTTGTCAATGATGGTTGAAAACTTTGAAAGCTCATAACTTTTAAACTGGACTTTGCCGACAAATTTTTTTTATATATTCTTAGTCAGTATAAAAAACTGAATCAATTAAAAAAAAAAAATTTGAAAAAACTCGATGGGGTGGTAAAATGCATTTAAGCCCATGGTTGTAACGGGTAACGGGAAATCCGGGTTCGATTCCGGAGAGGGAGTCTGAGAAACGGCTACCACATCTAAGAAAAGCAGCAGGCACGTAAATTACCCACTCCCGGAACATGGTGGTAGTGACGAAAAATGACGATACTGGATTCATCATTTGTAATCGGAATGAATGAGTTCTATATCTCTAAATAAGAATAAAGTGTGTTAATATATATTTTTAATAGTAATTAGAATATATATATATACATGTAAAGCGACTTAAGTACGTAAACGTATCATGCATTAGGTATAGCCGTGTTTTGTGGGCGGGAGGGTCGGACTAACGTTATACCTGAGGTATAAACGGCGGTAGGAATATATCTTAAATTAAAGCTTATGTAATATACTTTATCATGAAAAAAAAAAAATTCGGACTTTATTTTATCTTTACAGCGAAAATGGCTACCAAATGCTATTTTTGTGTGAAAATTTTCGATTTTGTATTTTACATTTTTAACTTTATTATTCTATAACTACTTATATTAGTTATATTATCAATTATGTTATCAGAATTATATTATCTTCTTTTTTTTCATTCTTAACCGATCCCAAAGTTGAGCTCACGTATATAATAATTTTTAGACTTCTATATTTAACTTTATGTGCAATGTAAAATTAAAAAAATGAAAACTTAAAATAATTTCTAGAATAGCCAATTTTTAATTATTGGAAATTGTGTAGATATGTTTAATTTATTATTTTACTATAATGTTTAGTGCCACATTTTTTTTTAAATTTAGAAGAAATAAAATTTATAAAACAATTTTTTGCTTGTTAAAAAATTCATGTTATCTTCATTCAACTTCTGTTATTAGAAGTCAATATAATTCTAAAGGACCTCCCTGGCGTATATTATTTTTTGGGAATGATGATTTTTCTGCCAAAAGCCTTCAATTATTGTCTGCTAAAATGTAATCATCCTTTAATATTTTTATCATAAAATTTTATTATGTTTCAGTAATAATATTGTGTTNCCTTTAATATTTTTACCATAAAATTTTATTATGTTTCAGTAATAATATTGTGTTCTATATAGGAAAACACAAACTATCATTTCTAAGTTAGATGTAGTGACAACTTCAAAAGGGCGAGGAATTAATATTAGAAATATAGCTAAAGAAGAAAAATTAGTTACATTAGAGTGGCCTGTGAGTAAAGTACAATTAGAAAAACAATATGATATTGGGGTTGTTGTGTCATTTGGTCGTTTAATACCTGAAGACATAATTAACACATACTGAACCCAACGCCGATTGAAAATTTAATTAAATTTCCTTAATAATTAATTAAACATAATAAATATTAATTATGTTTTAAAACATAATTAATTTTAAGTAATTGACAATAGCTTTATTTAATGAATATATTAATACGGTTTGTAACATTATATTAATTACATTTTATATTCAAAATAAGACATCTTATTAAAGAAATTTAATAATTATTGGCCAATTTTAAAACATTTTTTGTTATATTAATTGGCTTAAATAAAAAGTAAACAAGACTTTTTTTGCTTAAATAAGAGCAATATTGTCATTTAAATTGACACCGTCTGGTGATTTTATGCTTAAGTTTTTTTCCGTAATAAATTAGTCAGCATATATATTTAAAAATCTTTAAATCTTATATTTTTCTCTAAGTATAACTTAAAAATTTCAATTTTTGAGTGCATACATTATTAATAAAAATGGATTTAGATTTGTTATTCGTGATAACAACGTTGGTAATATATTTTATAATTCCGATTCAAGTAATCAAAGATATTATGTTTATTGTCCTGGCAGTTGTGTCGCTGCAGACATTTTTGGAAATGAAACTTTCTAAGAAGAAAAATACTTTAACTAAAACAGTAGAACCTATAACGAAAACTCGCACGGATTTGACTACACATCCTATTAATTTGGAGTTACCTACTATGACAAATAATTCAATTTTAGAACAATCACCTAGCGAAGATAAAATTAAGCTAACTCCGATTATCGAAAGCGAAAAAGAGCCCTCTAAAACTTCTATAAAGAAAATTACAATAAATGATAATTCATTGAACATGGACAAAACATCGTCAAAAAATAATCTTTCAACTCTACCTTCTAAAATATTTTCAGATAATAATATGAAAACACATTACACTAACATTTCATTATTGAATAACGAAATTGAATCTGTTAAAAAATTAAACTCAGAAATTATTACACAAATTGAAAAACAACCCACCAACACATCTACAGACACTTCCGTATTAGTTAATAATTATTTTAACACGAACATGTCACAGTCTCCAAACAATTTTCAAACTCAACCGTCTAAAATATTTTCGAGAAATATTAAAGAATTATCTCCTGAAAACAACACTACTATATTACTGTCAAAAAGGTATTTTGAAAATGAATCTAACAAAAATTCAGATACCATAACTAAGACATCGTATAATTTTTCTACTGTATCTAATTCAGCCACTAAAGTGAGTAATATTCACTAAGTATTTAAACAATTAATATGCATTATGTTTCCTGAAACAATATGCATTTTTCCTCCAACAACTAATTGCTGTTGTTACATTATAAATAGTTGTTTGATAATTTCATTCTAATTAATTTTTTAGCAAGGAATTCTTAAAAAAATTGAAAATTATGATAATAATTCAGCAAAAAATATAGCCAATATTAGATTAAAAGATACATATCAAGAGATGTCTGTACGATTTCATAAAAATACTGAAGTGAAACACTTTAAGTATGTTTTAAATTGAAAAAAAATTAATTATTATTTTCATATAATAAAAATTGATCACTTGTTGCTAATAATATTTTAAATTAGAAATATAAAAAATATCAATTTAGAGCTAAAAAATATTTAACTCGGAAAGCCTCAAAAATACTAATAGAGGTATATAAGCATGTTTTTTCAATCGGCGTTGGGTTCAGTATGTGTTAAGCATTAGTAATGATAATATTTTTTCAGAAATACATATTCGCATTTTTTTAGTAATTTTTATGGCTTTTTAAGTTAAATATTTTTAATAATTTTAGTTTTAAATAATATTTTCAATTTTTAAATTTTAGTTTAAACTATTTGATTAATATTTGTATATCGATTAGTAATAAGACCAAATCAAATTTTTGTTATTAAACCCAATTTTTAAAAATCTTTTCAATGTAGGAGACATTCAAAATATTTTGTAAGTTATTCTTTTTGTAATTTCAAATTTACGGCATTAAAGAAAAGAAATACTTTATGTTATAATTTAGTTAAAGATCTAATTTTTATTTTATTTTTTAGCTGTAATTTGAGTTTAACAAAACAAGTAAAAAAATATCAATGGCGTCGCCAAAATTATAATTTGACGAAGTATTAAATAAACTTATAGCCAAAATGAAGTAATTAAGCAATTACATTAAATCAATAAAAATTTGCTGTATTTTTTGATATTAATTTCTTATTGTTTTAAAAGTATCTTTTTATTTTTATCCTTTTTTAGAATGTCCAATTTTGTTTTATATAATAAACACATATGATACAGGAAAACTATTTTTTATTAATAATTTAAAATCTTGGTAAAGTTAAGTAATTTATTATTTCAAATTAGATAATTCTAATTATTTATTTTTAAATTAAAAATGTATCATATAAATTCAATTAAACATTTATAAAACATGGACAATTTTTTTACAGTTATTTTAAAAAAAAAATGTCGAGACTAAATCAATTGTTTATTTATAATTAATAAATACAAGTAGCGTAGAAAAATTTGTAACCTAAGCTAATGAATTTATTTTTTTTGGGAGTAAACAACTACTTAGTGGTATTTTAGTTTTCATATTTCTTATATTTTTGGACCAATGCTACACCTATTTTGACAAATATTCTATCAAACCAAAAGTCTACAGAGATATCCACACAAATACGACTGTTGAAACCGAAGAAAACATTTTTGAGAATAATACATCCGACAATACCATTGAAACTAACCTAATAGTTTATAGATTTATAAGTATAATATAGAAATAAATAAATATTTTAGTTTTTTTAACCCCCCTGTATAAGGGGAAATGGTTTGATTTTTTAAAAAAAGTGTATATCAGTTGAAAAAAATAAATTAAGTACTTATAAAAAAATATCGTATTAATCCATTTATTTTTAAAAAAGTTATAGAAATATAAAATTCAAAAAAATAAATATGAAATTAATATTTTCAACACAAAAAAAAACTATAGATGTATATGCACAATTGAAACATTTAAATTTTACACAAGGTATTGGGAATATTTTTACTAACAATGATAATATATTACTTTAATAATATCTGGTCCAGTAAAAAAGTTAAAATCATAATTTTTTAGCGGATTTTACTCATTTAGGTGAAATGNTCAAAAGTTAAAATCATAATTTTTTAGCGGACTTTACTCATTTAAGTGAAATGAGAAAAATATATTTAATTATTTAGGGTATTGTCTTTAACAATGTCCCGTGAGAGCTAAGAAAAAGTAGTAACAGACCATAAAAAGAAATAAAATAATCTATCATGATAAAATTAATACCTTCTTGGCTTCTCATCAAAGCTATAAAAAGTGATTTAATCACAATTTTATGATTAATTTAAACAAATTATTAGATCTTTAATGATTACATTTTAATTACGAAATAATTCTCTACATTCTTAACATTTTTTAGAAACTTTAAAGAAATAATACACCACATTGGTTAACATACAAACAGGAACAATTGTGTATAATAAGTACAAATAATTAGTACTTAAATATAACAATAATTTTATTTACTTAAAAAATTTCTAACAATATAAAAAATCATCTACAATAAAATATCNTTTACTTCAAAAAATTTCTAACAATATAAAAAATCATCTACAATAAAATATCTTTTGAAATTTTTTTTTAATAAGTTTCTTAATCTAGTAATTCAGTCAAATTTTCGTTCCTTTTCAGGTTTTTTACATACAAATACGCTATAAAAATCATAACCAATTGAAAAATGTATGTATTAGTACAAATTTTTTTTTTCTAAATACATTATAATTACATCTTTCATTTGACATACTTTTTATTAAAATTGGACAATTTCCCCATATANCTTTATTAAAATTGGACAATTTACCCACATATAAGGGGCGTTAAAAACTTGAAACATTGTATAAAAAATAGAACTTTTTCAACTTAACTTTTGAAAGTGTTTGTGAAATACTGCGTCCTTTAAACATATATAAAATTAAAGCTTATTTTATGTACTATAAAATGAAAAAAAAAAAATTTGTCCCGACGACCTATCTTCTATGCGCAAATGGCTACCATATTCAAAATTATGCTATTTTTCTATTAAAAATCTAGGTTTTGTATTTTATTTTATTTTAAAATATCTTATTAGGAGAATATATTGACTTTCATGAATATTATATAATTTATAAGGGGATTACATTGATTTATATATTATATCAATCTAAATGACATAGTATAAAAAATTAATCATATTTAAATTTTTTTGTTTCTTTGAAGTCGAGAAAAATAACTTTAAAACTTGAACTAGCTAAATTTCCATTTTTATTAATTGACGAATGAGACGTACGGTTTTTGAGACGGTAACACTTGGGTTTTTCACGACACTGAATTTTTTTTTAATTCTTTTTGAGTTAAAAAAAAATGTTCAACTCATTTGATTATTATCTCATTTAGATTCAATAACTTCAATAAATATCAAGGATTCCATTTCTGTAGTCTCCTCTCGTGAGAAGAAATTCATATTAATATTATTTTATTATGTGGTTTTTTTTTTTGTAGCTATCATTTATTTTCTCAGCTCTCATTTGACCTACTATTTTGACAAATTTTATTTTTTTAAATAAAATACTATCTACAGATTTGCATCGAAGCGTTTTTCATGATAGTGATTTTAATCACTGTCAGATATCATCTATACTGAACCCAACTATGCCACGACCCCACTGTGCCGCCACCCCACTGTGCTATCGTTTTATTTTATTATATTTAATTTGACAATTTTTTACACCTATAACTAGCGGTATTATATTTAAAGTCGCACCCCAACAACCAGCACCCACGAGCCGCCACTGATAACAATAATACAGTAAGATTAATGACTAAGACGTATATATGAATGCGGGCGGATTCAGATTCGGAATACACAATAAGGCCACGTGTGTGACGGATTGAAGTTACAGGTAAACTGGTTTACATAGTTGCCGACGTGTGCTTAATCCCCTGACCTGTCCTGTCTACCGACCGCCGGACAAGACAAAAATAATATTGTATAAAGTGCTAATTGTATGTTTACAGTTGAGTCAGAGCTCATCAGTAAACTTGGATACATCCTTAAGCATTTCAAGTGTGCGACGGCAAAAAGCTGATAATTACCACTCGATAACGTGCTAATAAATCATAACGATAAAAATAGTGAGCTATTTCAGGCCGTGTCATGATATCGCAACAACAAAATGTTATTTATTTATTTACGCTCAAGTTAAAACCATACATCGTAACACGTCAATATTATATTGTTATGCAAAAAAAAAAAAATGCACTAGTGCGATTTATATATTGATTAATATATTTAAAAATACTTTCATAAATAGTGTACAAAAGTTATTAAAAGTATAACTGGAAAGGTGACCTATAAAAAAAAGAAAAGTCGAAGTTCACGTAGACACCTTGTGCGAATATTTTAAATAAGACCTTAATTAAGTCGGAGTAAAAATGTACAAAATGCATGACAAATATAATATTACATATACATATTATGTTAGTTTTATCACATTATTTATAGTTTAGATTTACATTTTTAATTAAATAATTTATTAAGCTAATAGTATTTATATTTTTTTGATTCAATCATTTAATAATAACTCATGCATAAGTAATGTCAAATTTTTTGAAATCTAAATTTTTACTTTCGCAAAAGAATCTATTGAAAATTTTTTTATTAGAGAAATTGTAAGAATAAGGTATAACTTTTTGATAGCGAAATTGTATACTTAAAAATTACCATAAATAAATAATAACTTTTCCTGCAAATCTGAATCTAAATTAGTTACAAAAATATTTTTTCTGTTTGCATAAAATAACATCATAGAGCTAAGGTTGTTTTCAAATTCATAAGAAAGTTTTAGCTTCGATGCAAAGCTGAGAAGGTATTGGTTTTACTATGATGTGTTTTTTTTTTTTTTTTTTTAGTCTGTATACGCTCAATCTCAGCTCTCACTGAACCGATTTTGATGAAAAATATGTCAAAAGATCACAAATCGTATCTAGTTGAAGACATTACCCTCAAAAATTGAAAAAAAATTCCTTCTTTCCCCGTAAACGGGGGAAACCTCCAAAAAAATTACAAATTTAAAAATCGCTAATTTTCGAATTTTTTTCAATTTTTTTTACTAAAATGTGCCGTAACTTTTTCATAAATGAACATATCAATATAATTTTTTTTTAATAGATGTTTGATGTCTTTACCTATCATTTGATATTTTTTTTTTGTAAATCTGACCCTTTATCTGCCCACAGGGGGGGATTTAAAATGACAACTTTTTCACAAAAAATTAACTTTTTCAACTTAACTTTTGAAAATGTTCCGGAAGGTCTGACACTTTTATATATATCTTAAATTAAAGCTAATGTAATGTACTTTAATTTGAAAAAAAAAAATTTGACCTCTGGACTTGTCTTCATGGTGAAAACGGCTACCGAATGCTATTTTTGTGTGAAAATTTTCGATTTTATAATTTACATTTTTTACTTTAAAGTGCTATAACTTTTTAAAAAATGTATGGATCAATACAATTTTTTCATGAGAAGTAGTATTTATATACATCTTTCATTGGATATACTTTTTTTTTAAATCAGACTATTTCCCTATATATGGGGGGGCTTCAAATATAAAAAATGCATATAGAAAGTAGAACTTTTTCAACTTAACTTTTGAAAGTGTTCCGGAAGGTCTGACACTTTTATATGAATATTAAATTAAAGCTAATGTAATATACTTTAATTTAAAAAAAAAAAATTGACCTGGACTTGTTTTCACGGCGAAAATGGCTATTGAATGCTATTTTCGTGTGAAAATTCTCGATTTTATTTTTTATATTATATTTAACTTTATAATGCTATAACTTATTGAAAAGTGTATGGATCAACACAATTTTTTTATGAGAAATAATATTTTTTAATAATCCTTTTTCATTCGACATACTTTATCTTAATCAGGATATTAATGTCACTCGATAGAAAAATATAAGATATAATAAAAAAAATGATAGAAAAATATAATGATCTTTATTTATTAACATAAGAATTATCTTAATTAATTGTCATATTCTTTAATATTAATAATGCCACAAGTACTGGTAGTTATAAATGATAGGTGGGATGGAGCACCTTATGTGTCTATTCAGAGCAGTATGTTGACTATATATACTATAATATGTATATGAATCTCTAACTTGTCCTCTGGCAAAGACGCGTATCTATAATCTAATTCTACCATTAGCTTCGTACAAAAATTACTGATTTAATTTATATAATATATAGAATTCAGCTTATAAATTCTATATTACATTGTTAATTTAATCACAGCATCTAATATTGGTATTATGTGCAACGAATTTCATATTAAAGTAACTTATTAGTATCAAAAATACATTATATTTTCAATATATGTACTATATGTCACATACTATACTTGTGAAATATAATTTTTATATTTTCAGAATTATTTTAAAAAGTAGTAGATATGCATTTGATATATTATTAAAAAATTATTGCTAGCAAAATATGTTATTGAGAATAATATATTTTCAATGAATTGTATAATTTCTATTTTTAAACAGTAAATAAAATATGTCGAATTTCTGAAATACATTAGAAAATAAATAAAATAATAAAACTCAATATAAATATAATGTAATTTTAGAAATCCTCTTATAACTTTAAAATAAAATATCATAGACTTTTGTGCTTCATTTATTAATAGTCAAAACATTCTGAAAATCTTATTCTTTACCCATTATAAAATAGCCTGTAAAAATAAAAAAAATATCTATACTTTTCATATTTAATTGGTTTTAGTTTTAATTGACTTGGTAATTTTAGANCATTGGTTTTAGTTTTAATTGACTTGGTAATTTTAGAAATGACATAAGTTATAAAATAAAACTTTTAAACATTTAAAAATAAAAATTTAACAAGTAAGTGACATACATGTCACTTTCTTAAATCTAAAATTGATACGATATAGGGAGAGAATGAGTACGGTCGGAAAATGTATAAAGCAACATCACTCTTCACATCCAGCAATACTTTAGATTTTATTGGATGAATACATTTTTTTTTTAGAATGAATAAATAAAAAAATTAACAATATTATAGTTTGAATAATTTGTATGAATGAACGAGGAATAGTTGGGATAAGTATAGATGATATCTAACAGTAATAAACATCACCATGTGATCTAATTAAAAGAATGGTTTTTCGAAAACAACTTTTGGATTAGTATTTCAGAAGTTATTAACACTTATATGCTTAGGTAGGAGGAGTATG